CAATCCTATACATTGTTGTTTCGTAGTTGATGTTCCATCATAGCATCTCTTATAATGCTCTCAAGTACTTTACACGCCATGCTGGTGAGGCTCACTGGTCGCTAGTTATTCGTGGAGTGACGATCGCCCTTCTTGAATATAGGACTCACATAAGCCATTTTCCAGTCACTGGGAACCTTTTGCTAATCCAGGAATTTGCAGAACAGGATCATAATGGGCTCAGCAAGCTCTTGCACAATTCTCTTAACACTCTTTGACAATTTATTTCATATAACCTCTTTTGAGAACACAAAGTCAGTCAGCACTGTGTCAAACCATCTGTCCTTATAAGCAGGAAGATTACATGAAGATAGATCATGTGTTGATAATGTCAGTTTCTCTACAAAATTCATTGCAGGATTTTAAGTCGTCTGCTGCGCTGGTGATCGGATTCGTCTTAAGAGAAAATGAGCTACCATTATCTTTGTCGACTTCCGGAGGATCTATTTCTTCCTATGGGATTGAGTGGCCTTCGTGGACTGGGGTAGTAGGGTGTGTGTACGGAGGCGAATTTTTTTTTTTGAGTTTGAAAAATCGGCCCATGGTATTAATGATGTAGTTCTATGTGCAGAATCATGTGATATCTTCAGATTTGAAAAGTTTTCATTTTTGCTAGGTAAATTTTAACTTGAAATCTTATGAAAATTCAGTATTCCCACCCTTTTACCAACACCACTAAATAGCTTATTTAAAGTAAAGTAAATGTATCAGGTTAATTTATTAGGATGAAAATGATCCAGAATAGTGAAACGAATGATCTTGACACATTTATTAAATTTAATATTCCTTTAGAAAACAAAATCATCAAATACAAAAACCGGTTTTACTACTACGACCTGGTGTTGCTGCACACCATAGAGAACATGTCTTTCTTGCTTCTGTTTCTACTCATCACCTCCCTGCTGACCACCTGAGCTCGGATGTAGCCTTCCCTCCTCTCCTGGCTGTACACGTGACTGCTGGCCTCGCTCACTTGCTGTACACAACGCCCTATACTCTGGGTGTGCGAGGGCCAGGCAGGGACATGCATGGGGTTGTCCAGGAAAGCTCTGACTTGAACATTGGTGAGGCTGCAGGTAAGAGGGGGCTCACTGCCGGGCTTGATGTTATCCAGATCTATGAGATCAGTGAGTGGCCTCAAGTAATCAGATTGACTTCAGGAAGCCCTTCCTTGACCCCTGAAGGAATCGTCACCAACTGATTCGTCATGCTTTCCCAGATCTCCTCATGTCTCATATCCAAGATCTTTTTTGACTGCCAATTTTCTCTCTCCTCCTTTCATCCTTACTGCAGAAGCATTGTCTCGCAGAACTGCCCCATGAGCATACCAGGAAGATCTCCTCACAGTCTGCTCCACTATCTGAACAACCTTCCTTGGCTGACTCCTCAGGAGCTCAAGCTGGAAGAGAACATGCCTCGGACCTTCGGAGAACGATGACTTGACCTTGGTGTTGAACCAATTTGGTAAGTAGACACTCACGATGAATTGGACAATAAGTCTCAGGTTGTGAAGCTGGTTCCCTTTCAGTTTATGATGAGCGACCCAAATTCTGCAGAACCTGAGAGCTGTTGTGAGCCACCTAGAATGTGAGACTGGACCTATCTGCAGGTAAGCAAGTCTATCAGGCATGACCCCAGTTTTGATGGCACTGCAAATCATGTAACCATAGTACTGGTCAGTACTCAGGTCGTCAATGACAGTATGTGCAAGCTCAACGAGTGGAGGGCTAACTGTGATTTTTTCAAAGCTCGGATTTATTTCTAACTCAGTGGCAG